AATTTTTTTTATATTCTCTTATTTATTTTTATTTGTCCACAGAGAGAGATACACACACACAGAGAGAGAGAGAGAGAGGGAAAATGAGAAAACAAGCTACCAGGTCCAGGACTTGAACCATGGTCAACCATGTGGGAGTGTCCAGCACTTTAGCCAGCATGTCACCTGCTGGTCCCAAAAGTATTTATTTTTACGTTTACTTATTTATTTCATGAATGAGAGAAAGAGAGAGGCAGCACTCCCAACAGAGTCTGATGCCACAATCCACCCCAGCCCTAGCCAACTCTGGTGCGCACAGCCTGGAGCACTCAGGGAGGTCTCCAGACATGACCCTGGAGCCTTCTCTGGCGGGTCAGTCTTGCATTGTGTTCTATTGTCGCGCCACCATCCAGCCCATTAAAGTAAAGACTTTCATACAAAGGGAGAGGTGGTGGTAGCGGAATCCAATTTGCTGCCTAAGTGTATTGAACAGGCATAGGTGGGCAACAGGGCAATGCCAGGCCAAGGAAGCCATTGCTGATGTAGATCATGTAACCCAGGCAAGGGATGGTGGTGGCTGGACTAGAGGGAGTGGGGCGGAAGAATGAAGAAGTAGACTTAGCTGAATCCGAGAGTAGGTGAAGAAAAGCAGTGTAGAATGAAGTGGATTCTAATTTAGGCAATGGGGGTCCTACAGGTCCTTCTGGGGTGGAGAGTCCAGAAGGAAGAACACCACTGCGGATGGAAAGAGGAGGGAGGAGCCATTCGGGACATGTAGATTTGAGGGACCTAAGGGACACCCGGCAGGCAGCTGGACACGCAGGGCCACAGGTGGGAACAGAAGTTGAGAAGGAGCCAACAAAGTAGGAGAAATGCATCATAGAGGCCCAGAGAATGGGGTGGGGAGAAGTGACTGCAGACCAAGCGAAAGCACGGCTGAGGCCTCTCCTCCGGCGCCTCTCCTCAGGCGCCTCTCCTCCGGAGCCCTTCCACACACACAAACCGAGAGGTTTATCTTGACGGCACTTTATTTGACTCGAAAGTGAAACTCAGACTCTGGCCTACCCCGGGATCATGGCAATAGTAATCTTATCCTGGGGGTCATCGGCCTCTTACCAAGACACGAAGAGACAGTATACAGGTCACATCTGTGTGGCAGGAGGGGTGCGGCTATGGGGGTTAGACAGCGCGTGGCCAGGGTCAGAGAAGGGGTGACGGTGCCACATTCCAGACACATGCAGGGGGAGCAGAGACTAACCCGGGACTGGGCCAGGGCTGGGCTTAGAGTAGCCGAGAGCAGAGTGAGGAAGCTCCGACCACCGAGGTCAGTAGCTGTGAGTGGAAGCCTTGTCCAGTTCGCTGTGCTGCTCCTTCTGGGACTCCGTCACCACCTGCTGGGGGGAAGGCAAAGGAGCACACAGGCCATTCGGCACCCCCTTTCCAGCTCCCTGGTGTAACCAGCTGAGGCCCCAGTTTACCCATAAGTCTCTCCACCCACAATGCTCGATCTGCTGCAGCCAGCTAGGGCTCAGAAGTAATAGGGAAATGATGGGGTCCTGGGATCAGGACCTCTCACCTCCCCATCGCGGGTCTCAATGGTCTTGATCAGCACCATCTTCCGGCTGTGGCTGTCTTGGGGCTCCACCTCAGGCACTGGAGAGGCAGGATGAGGGTGGGAGGGAGGGACTGGCACTCTCCCTGTTTACACTCCCACTCCCACCCTGAGGGCTGCGGAGGGGGCTGCGGAGGAGGGATGGGTGCGGGCCAGAACTCAGTAGGGTCCTTGGAGAGAACCGACGCCCCCCCCCCAGGGGAGCCCTCCCAAGATTCAGATCAGGGAAGTGGACCAGGGGAGAAGCCACACGCGGAGGACTCACCGGTCGTCCTTAAACTTAAAGAGGCAAACGAATGGACCGGCACGGAGATCCTGAGGGCGCAGCACGTGGTCAGCTCCCGGCCCAGGCCTGTCCCCTTCCCTCCACTCCCAGTCGCTGCCCTCCTGGCCCAGCCCCGCGGCCCCGCCCTCAC